TCTAGAAATCAGTGAAATACGTGGAGTAAGTTGAAAGGGGTCAGACACCATTTCTCGGCGGTAGCTCCGGTGGTGCATTCTTGATGGACTGCCTGGACGTTATGTCCTCGTTGGGAATCATGTAGTCATCGTCGTCTTCCTCGCTCTCAACATCAGAGCAGCGGTCGGCCACTAGTAACAGAAAGCAAGATGACTAAAAGCTTGCAAAACAAAACTGTCAATGAGCAGTTGTGTGGAGGATATGAAAAAGCACTCCAGCAAAATTCTCAACAAAACTGCTTGCAGTAACTAGTGCAGCAACACAAATGCGGTAAATGATAAAATCACACCAATGACTACAATCTTACAGCAAAACAAAGCTGGACTTGTGTTCTTTTGACAACAGTAAGAGAGCAAACAGTCAAAAAAGGAGCTCTGAATGTATGAAGGTGAGCAGACTTAATTTGGCTGGTTTTCAGAAGTTTTTTCTTTTAATTCCCAAGTTTTAGCAGCTTTAGGGTGTCATGAAGCATGCGGATGATGTCGAAAAGGACTGGAGCATTGTTCACTTTACCAGGTATTGCCACGGCCTGTTTGCTGAGTCTTCCTCCAACTGGCTTCGCTGGCACAGACAACTGATTGGTGATCCTGGGTGACTTGGGAGGATACTGGGTTTGGGATGGGGGTAACGTCTTGTATCGCTGGGCCGGGAGGTTACGCTCCAAGGTGGGATCCCTCGGGGACAGCTGGAGACGGTACTTGTTGAAGATGGCCTCGACCTTTCGGTTGTTCTCTGCAATAAGGATAAAAATCAGAGATAATCAGTATGAACAGCAAGTAATTGCCTGGTTATGGAATGCCGGGAGTTGTACAGCAAACCCTGTTGACCTCTTAAAAAGTCGCAGCCACAGGTTGAGATTTATGTCCTTGTCTTCCTCTTCTGAACTGCAAGCTCAAACATGCCACGTGAAAAATGAGCAACTTTCTGTTGTGTTACTACCAGCTCTTCATGTGAGTGTCCTCATCAAATTCTTATTAATGAAAGGGCTTTAACACGTGAAAGTCAGTGCTCCAAAACATCCCCAAACCACTCCCATCCTACCCTGCCCCTCTCTAAAGGACTTTCTTTGGAATCACAACTTCAGCGGTGGGACCAGCAAGAAATGCTCTCCAGAGTAATTCAAGATATCCTCACCAGCTCCAGGGTCTGGTGCTGTGGCTGGATCATCCGGCATGGACTTGGCGATGTCCAACTTTGTCTGACACAAGTCTGTTCCTTTCTGCAGCAAATCCTTCAAGCACTGACAGTGTGTTATGAGCGAGTCCCTCAGCATCGATGCCTGGATAAATCACAAAGAAATTCCCGAAGGTCATATTTCTTACGAAAAATGCCAGTCTAATCATCAATGGTGGGATGGATGCAGAACACGAGGTGTAAAATCCCTACAGAAATCTGATCTTCAAATGCCAAAAATAAGAGGCCACTTCTGTCCTTTATTTCATCTCCACTTTTCTTCCAGCCACAACCTCAAGAAATTTCTTCAACTCAAGGTCGTACCCAGTTTATGCCAACCATACCAAGATTTCAGGCGAGCTGTTGTCCCTTTTTTTCCTTGTCACCGAATCCACCTCTCCTCTTGATTCTCCTTACCTTGTAGTTTTCAAAGTCGGCAGTTGCGTTCCTCAGCAACTCCTCAGTTTCTTCATCTTTTGCCTTTGCCTTCCAAAAAACAGTATTATACCAAAAATGACTCAGTACCGATGTCACAACACAGAATGGAAAATGTGGTAGAGATCTTGTTAATGTGAAGTGTGAGTTGATTATAACATGCTCCTGTGTTCAGCATGTCTTATTTCAGGGTGCATAAAACAACCCTTCAATAACCCTTTGCAAAAATTGCGGCGCAAAAAATTGTCAAGATGGCTGGAAATTTGTCATGTAACAAAAATTAAATCCTCCATTGCCATGGCAACCTACCACATACAGATCTGCCTCCATATTGGTCACGTGCGCCTTAGCTTTCTCGTTGCCTTCATTTTTCTTGGCTGCCTTTCTCGCAGCTTCTAACTGTGGGGCAATATATCAAATATCATTCGAAAATAATTTTACATGTTTCAAACCGACTACGTCTAAATTAATAAATGCACAAGTTCACACCCACTCATAAAGTGCCACCATCAGAGCTTTGATGATTTTTTTTGCATCAAGTGAAGGAAAAGTTTCGGTACCGTGTAAGTTTGTGATGAACTGAAGTTAAACACACTTTTGCTGTTGCAAATTAGAATTTAAATATCCAGTAAAATTCTGTCGACTCTGAAACTAAAGCTTAAAGAACACATTACATGTACAGTGTCTGTATTTTAAAGTGGCCAACAAAGTGTTATTACATGTACATGTACTTTACTTCTGTGCACAGGACCCATTTTGATTGATTAACCAGTGTGAGGTGGTCATGCATACAAACTATTGTCCCGAATGCTGTCTGACAGATAAATGATTGTGTTGTTACTGACAAGGAAGTAATTAAACTAGAGGGATCTGCAATCAGGGGTCATCTCTAATACCCATCCGCCCAAGACGGAGCCAAATTTCCTGTCAGATGGAGCTGCAGTACATGGTGAATAAATCTATTCATGCTCTCAAAGCCACAATGAGCGACAAAGACATGTGCATGCTTAACTGAATGGCAGGTGGTACAACAAGTGTCGAATTGAGATGTTGATTACCAATGACTACACAGGGTTCCAATTATTTTGGTGAAAGGCTACACTGTCTGTGCATTGGGCCACAATTGGCTTCACTGTGCTAAACTTTGCATGCAGTTTGGAACAGGATCTGGCTTTAACTGAACAAAAACTGAATGGTGAAAATGCACTGGGGCGGATCGAGAGCGTCATTTGTGATGGGTGGAGCCGGACCCTGGTTAATTCAGTGTGTGAATTCAAATGAGATTTTCTTTTACTTGTGGGACGGGAGGGGTGATGTCGACGGGTCCTTTGTGACCCACCCGGATGATTGATACATGTATATCAGCTGTAGAACTACTCCCTGAATGATCGAATACAACCCCATTAACAAATTGATGGATCGATTAGTCTCACCTTGCTAGAAACCGCCGTAACCTTGTTTGCTGTTCTCTCTTTCTCTTTCTGGAGGTCACTGACTTTCTTCGATTCGGCTAAGATTTCCTTGAAGGATTTCCTATACCTTGAGAACTGCCCAAGCAAACACAGAGATCAAATTTTTTTCCCTTCCTTTATGCTTACAATAATACAAGAGGCTACCACTGATCTGGGTTTCATCTTCTTCGTGCCAATGCCCATCTTCATTATCCGAAATAATGTGCGTCCTGTTGCCAATTGTAACCTCAATTCAATTATCACTTCACCACCCACAGGCTGTAAACACAGCAGGCTGGCTTGCAAAATCCTACTTTGCCAGTGTTCTCAGGCGCCGCTGTTTGCAAACAGTGAGTCTAAAATGTAAGCTACACGTACGTGTCTCTCTATTGATATCTACGTATGCACTTGCTCTCTAGCAGTCATGTAAATACTTGGTGAGACCGATACATATTGCACTGGTTGGTTGCAAGTGTGGCCAGCCTGTGCAAACCATCTGCGCTAATCTCGGTAAGCTCGCTCGTTTTTTTTAGTTTCAGTTTTGCCAACCGAGAGCAACCTGCATTGCGGTGTGAGCACTGTGAAATGTGTTTCTATCCTTTCCTCCATGAATGAGAATTTACCGTACACTTCCTTGTTTCTGAATTTGGCAGGCTGGACAACAGGAAGGAGGGATTATATACGGCTCTGTTCAACCATGGAGCTGCAGCTCAACAAAACCTCCTGAACAACCACTGCTGAAGTTAGCCTGAATATATGCTGAGAAAGGTATGCGCAGGTAGTGATTTTCATAAATGCACATAATCCTACCTGGGGTGTGCAATTTTAAAAATGGGGCAATTTCAGGAAATCTCTACCCATATCCGATTTGTGCCACTACCTAACCACAGAGTACTATTTAGTCTAATCCATGTACAAAAATGTCGCATTCACGTTGTAATTTAATAGGATATCATTGGCAGATACGTGTCGGCATTAACCAAAGCGGAATATAATATCAAATCAGTGCTCTGAAATATTTGATATTATATTTTTGTCGACATTCTGATCATAGTGCTACGTAGCCCTTCCATATTTCATTAACTGAAGAGGGCTAGGGAAAAATGCCAGTGAAATCCAAATCAAATTTTTTTTTTAAACATGGTTAAAATACAGACATGACAGACGAGGCCCACATTGGCTGTGCCAACCCCCCCTCTCCCCCAGATGTGCAACTGGATATCACCCAATCAGATAACCCTCAATTAAAATAAAACATTAACCTCTGTCCACTGGTATGAAGTTGGTCTCCACAGTACACGTGGAACAATAATTACCTGGACATTTCGCCAGAAATTTTGCAGTACCTAGAAAAAAAATTAAATGCACAGGAAAAACAGTGACATAATGACTGCACTTGAGCATCCTGCAGCACTCGTCCCCAGCTGTGAGGTCCTGACTTGTATCCTGAGCTCTAACTGGATCTATCAGGAGATTCAGTTCACTTGGCAATTGTGACCTGTCACCACAAAATGAGCTGCAAGTTGGAATTTTAAAAAATTGAGATTTTGATACTGTTGATTTCAGCCGGAAAAGAGCTTTCCTGTGGTACATGTATATACGTGGGACACTTAGGTAAAAGTACCGGCGTAAGGTGACAATGAAGCATTATTCTAGCAGCTCTGCGTCTTTGTTCCTGACATTGTTCAACATTTGCAGACACGAATAATGCTAATACTGTCAAAATTGCTGAGAAAATGACATTTTTTAAATATCAGATCCTGCAAAATATTTGGAATTAAATAGGAGACAGGTGACCCTTTCCAAATATTACAAACCACCAAAAACTGACCTCCACTTCCATGACTTTGAATTGAACTCTCAAAATGGGAAAGAGCGGGATGCGACGTTGCTCTCATTTTGTCATGACGGGTCACATTTAGCGTTAGTCAACTCGGTTAGTCACACCTTATTTTCAAAGGTTTTGGGCAAAGGCATTGTTGAGAGGCCCTCCCTCGTTTTGAACGGAAGAAACATGACACCTTTCTCACCTCTTCAAGATATTCTTGCAACAGCTGCGTGAATCCAGCATCGAGGTCTGCCCAGGCGGAGAAGACATCTGGGAATGTGTAGTTGGATTCGGTGTATGACCACTTCAGAAGGCCTGTTGCGACTGGCAAGACGGATGAAACATCTAGGCTTTAACACTTTATTCCCACTTTTTAAACGTTGCTCGAGTCAAATTTTGTGCAACCTTGTGTTTACATGTTCATCTAACAACAGATAGCAAGCACACCATTTGATGTTATACAACCGCGTTCAACTTATTTTTGAACAAGACACAGTGAATTTCTCTAGAATTCTACAAAGCAAACCTGGACCTTAAAAAAGTTAAAACCCGAATGGGTTCAGGTAGCAATATTTTGTCCTCACTATATGAAATTTTTTGGGGGGGAATATTCATATATATACAAGGGAAACAAATTTGTTTCCGGTGATACTGTCCAACCCTTTCTTTTGATGGCTATTTCTTAGATCAAAAGGTTTCACGATGAAAAAATAGCATTAAGTGGGCACACTGTTGTAAAGACGATAACAAGGACACATCAGGTACATGTACAACGTGCTGCAATTAAGCATGTAACATCAGCGTGCCAAAACATGCGGTTGTGGTGCTGGTTACAACACCAGCGGCCTTCAGTTCCAGTGCTGCATACAAATTGCGGGGCTCATCGTTGCATTGTTACCAGCACAAAGCATTCCAAAATACGGCTGGGCAGTCAAAGCGTAGAACTCCACGAGTGAACTCATTTCCTGGAATGTACAACTGCCCTTTGGCCACACAGTGTTTCCTTGTGGCTTATTACATGAAAACAGTGGAAATTATTTACAGGAAACACAGATGTTTTCATCTTTACAAAAATAAAGTCTCCTGTCACATGAAATGAATGTACTTGTAGGTCAAATGTACAGGGGACAGGACCAATTTCTAAATTCTACCCTGTGACTACAGTTTCACCCGGATAGTGGAGAACAAAGCCACCATTCATGACATTGTGAAAGCTTGTCTGCTTCATTACACATGTAGTATACATATGTGCATGTATTAGTACATGTACTGGTATGCACATGTATCATAGGACTGTAGAAATGGAAACCTTAAATACAATGGTTACCAAAGGCTGGAATGTGTCTCCTGTGCTTTTGGTTTATTTTATGAGTCAGAAATGGATTTTCTTCAGCAAGTGATGTTTTATTCTTGTTTCTGGCCCTAACATCAAGGTGCAAAAATTGCATGAGACTGAACAAGTCCACTTGTAAGTTGCATCTAGGCTTAAGTATGGTGATCTCAGCATTTTATTGGAACCGACTAAAACAAGCAAGGCAGATGGTTTCACCCTAGACATTTGCCCAAGTACCAGGTGTGGCTTCAACATGCTTGAAGCAAATAGATGTATTGTAACCATAGAGCTATATTTAATTACTACAGCAGTAACTTCTCATTCTCCGCACGGAGAAAATTTGACACCGTCCTGGGCGCAGACATTTTGAATCCATGTGCGTGCTTGTAGAACACTTGAAATCAGATAGAATGAATATCAAATTATGCACTCTTAAGTGTAACGCGCATCGAGTACCGCTTAAGTCCGATTTAAAACATCACGGCAAAATTATCTGCAGTGCGTACGCGCACGCCTTTGCTTTGTTTAGGCATTGTAAAATGACATGCTCGTTTACTGATTGCGCATCAGGTTTTTTTGCGTATCGGCTTTGTTGATGTATTGTTTTAGAATACAGATGGCTGTAGGCAAGTAGAGTCACGCAAAAGCCATACGAAATTTCAAGTTTTCCTTGTGACTGGAGCAGGCATCACCTGGTACAGGAGCTAGTGCTCTAGTTTTGTGACTGTGATTGTAACGCAACTCTCTCTTTCCGTAAACCTTCAAACCTGTGTGTGCACGTACACCTGCCCTTATGGTTTGTGAGCCCAACTCCAGTAGCATGTTTATACAATGTCTACTTCCCTCTTTGCCATTTTTAGGTGCCATCCTTTCACGCTGTGATATATCCGGATCAAGATGCTATGAGCACAAAGAGTATCAACTGCAGGGTTCACAACATTGGTTGCCACAGCAACCAGGCTGCCATAGCAACCAGGCATCCTTTTTGTCACTGGAATGAATGCACGCTCATTTCCGTTTTAAAGAATTTTACCGTATATATATGTAGGTGGGAGGACCATTGAGTGCCACTTTACCTAAGTGTGTACCGCCTACAAGGTTTAGGTAGAGAAAAGTATAGTAGGCATGCAGGCAATCAACTATGGACAACTGAACAGAGTGATCAAATGGACAGCTAATCATCCAAACAACTGTGCCACGTCCCAAAAAACTGTCAACACTATGCTTGGAGTTTTGTACAGACATGCCAAGGATTTGCATTATTCCTAACCTTTTTTTTTAATCCCTTTGTTCGATCGGTTCCAGCGGGAAAAATTCGGATACTGAAAAATACTTTGTGGTACCAGCCACATAGAGTGTATATCAAAAATAGTATCCTGCATTTTGGTTTCCTGGAGCGTTGCTTCAATTCCTGAAATATTGATCCCTTCAAGTCACATGGCAGGAAACACATTTGTTTGTTCAAATGTGGTCATACAAACGGAAAAAATAGATCGTGAACTAGCAATTTTTTTTTTAAAAAAAGGGTTTCCCCCGTGATGTCTAAACTGGATAAACAACATCAAATTGTCTCTGCTCCAATCACCGCGTAACATGCAAAAATGGGCATTGCTAGATTTTCCCGGGGTGGGGGAGGGGGACAAAGCACTTTTTTTGGGGGGGGGGCAGGGGAGAGAGAAAATTTCCATGGGTTGGTGAGCAAAAAACTCATCACAACAAACTGACAAACCATGAACGGTCGAAGTCATTTTCGAGGGTTTTTTTTTTGTAGTGAATGTGTGACTTTCTTAGATATCTTGAAAAAAAAGTGATCTTCACTTTTTTTTCACTTTCATTTATATTTTTTTGGGGGGGGGAGGGAGGAGGGGGGGAAGGGCAAGCCACCCTCTTGCCCCCATGCATGCACACCAAACGTGATCGTTGTTATAAACACACATTTTGAATACCTATGTTTATATTGTACATGTACCTAAGGTCCACCACTGTATAGTCACCAGGGTCTTGACTTCAAGATGTCCCAGACTCTGCCACTTACGGTGGAAACCAATCAGAATTCACAACAGGTGGCAAAAATTGGGATCTGACAGCTATACAGGTATTAGACATTAGACTGGTTTATGACAAATGAAATTAGTAGTCAATATCACAGCACATCGGTGATTTTTTTTTTATTCCCAACTACGACACTGGTCCCAACTATAGTTGGGACAGTTCCAACTTGGGTCCAGTGCTTTATCCCACCAAGAATTTGTTAAAATTCCCAAACCTCTCTGTACCCAGCATACAGAAAGGACATTTCTAACTATCGTGCTGCAGTTGGGACCAACACTTTAGTTGGGGATGACAATTTTGATTAGACAACTTACCATTGTTAATAGATGGTATCAACTTCCCACCGATGACTCCTTGAAGACTCTTTGCATCCACAACAACTGACCCTAGGTCACCGCCTCCTCTCATCAGCATCTTGGCCGCTCTCTTCATTCCATCCATGTTCATTATATTGATTTGATTTCTCCTTTCCAAATTGCCAACTGGTAGAATTCACTTTCCTTGTGTGTCGAGGCTGGATCCGTTGAAGCCTTGCTTAACCAAGTCAGCATTTAAATACCTGAAACTCAACGGTCTTGTCGCTTACTCAATCTGAACCTGTTTACTTCATAACTCTTCTATCTATGTACTGGTGATGTCATGGTGATACTGTGAAGTTCTGTCAGAAAATGGACAGACAGAAAGAGGCCAGTTCTACATGTTCAGCACATAAACCAGTTTAAACTTCTAAAGCGTCAATTATAACAAATGCATGCAACCACATTAAGGTTTAGTGATATGAGCAGCAATGATTAAATCCTCAACCGACTGTCAACGGTCAGCCAACATTACAACATGCGTGAAAAAATACAAACAAGCCACACAACAATGGTCCTGAAACTTGGTCAGAACTATGTCTGCACAAGTCAACTCCGTCTCTCACATTCACAACTGTGAACTCCAGGTTTTGAAACCCGCATTGTTGAGGGGAAGTCAAAATGTCGAACTTTCAAAGTTACGTGGTCTCGCCCGAATTTTCAAAAAGCACGCCTGTTCAGCTGTTGTTGGGGTCGTGCAAAAACCACGACAGCATGTTTGATGACAAGTCGGCGAATCACCTCAGTGGTTCCACAGCACTTGTACGGTGTTGTTGCTGAAAACGCTCACCCAATGTTAGGAGCAAGCTATCCCCCTCAAATCGATCGCTCTTCCTGAAGTAACTTTAATGGTCATTGATTGCTGGTTGGTTGGCACGATCACAAAGTCACTTCCGCATAACTGGTCAGTCAAGCAGAAAATCGTGTTGTTTCCTTCGCTGGTACTTGCTTCCTACAATGCCAGTGATTAAGTAGTGGTTGGTATGTGGTTACCAGTCAAGAATCTAGTAACCCATTCATTTGACCCATTACGCTGTAACATAAACTCGGAACCACCTTCATTCGTTTTGGATAGACGTTATTTTAATGAATCTGTTGCATGCGAGCGCTACTTTGCTAGCGCAGGTAAAAATAACTCGCTGCACACGTCTCACGGCTTAGGCCGACAGTATCACCAAATTGCTCATTGGTGCGATACAGTATGCTGGCTAGTTGAGAAAAGTATGAGAAAGAAAGGAGGATGATTTTGATGAGGTAACAAACTACAAGCGAGCCCATGGTAAACTAATAATGGTCATGATGCCTTTGACACATTTTCGACATTTTCGAAAATTTCAGCATTTCTGTTTTTTTCTCACTGTTTTCACATAGACTAGGCTATAATATAGGCCTAAGTAGTCTAGGGCCTTGTACTTTTCCCTGTGCATGTGATGTCACGATTGTGCTGGATGTGTTGTGATGGTGTTACGCTCCAACTATAACGTCTCTCCCTACTATCCGGTTGGTAAGTGACTTCGTCGCAAAGGTGGACACGCCACGATTTGCAGGCTCTCATTGGACAATCGCTGAAGTTGCGAGTTAACTTCTGGTTCCACGTAAACGGCTGGAACTGATGCTGTAGTTGGGATGTAACAGTGGTAATGAGTGCATAGTGTTGTTCAAGATAAACTACTCAAGCATGCAGCAGTCGTACGTGCAATTGCACGTGGTTGAAGCTGCCCGTAGGAATATAATGGGATCACCGTAGCCAAAGCGGACTGTCCACACATGGTGGTAACTGGTATTGTTTACATTTAGCACAATCTAGTCATGTGGGTGAAAAAAGTCTGTAAGGTTGAAACTTGAAAGGTGAATCATGAATGCATCATGATCAGTCATGCAGAACTGTAACGTTATTCGCTCGTTGCACGCTTCTATCATAGGCGTGCAGAGCCTCAAACTGGTAGCATCAGAATCACTTTGTTCAATCACATGGTATAAAAACTGATGCAGCATGTGCACAATTACATAAGCAACATGCACCTGCTAGGAATCACTGAACCGGCTATATTGATTGTGTAAAGCTGCCAGATCAAGGCTCTGCAAAGAGCGAATAGGTCCCATGAGTAGCCTAGAAAGTTGCACATTTCCAGTGGTTGATGATCTTGGAGAGCATTCGTGAATGGTGCACGCATTACTTCTTGGATTTGAGGGTGAATTTCAAACTGCTCCTGCGCTGGCATTTGTTGTGATTACATGTAGTGACCAGCTTGTGGGATCGACATGAGTAAAGCAAAGTGAGAAATACAATGTAACCGTTTCATACTTCATAGAAATTTTTTTTCACAAAGTCCCACTTTTGGAAAGAGTTCCATTAGCTATATGGCCAACACTTATTTACCCTTAAAATGTTATAACAGCAGTCAGAAAGTGATAAGATGTCCTAAAAAGTGAAATTTAGCTACGAAAATTCCAAAGCATTCCCTTAGAAAGCACTGTTTCAGACAAGTCTTATAGCTTTGTGCATAGGGGCATCAAGTGTTGTCCATGTACAGAACTCTTTCCCACTTTTTTCTCTTTTGGGTGTAGCCCAAGGCCCAAGGAAGAAAGAGTTCCACAGCACTTGATGGCCCTGTGCACAAACCAATGAGACTTGTCTGAAAAAAACCCAAGTCGTCAAAGTGTTCTCGAAGTAAATATTTTGGAATATCTTACCTAAATTTCACTTGTAGGATGTGGTGGTCCCCCTTGTCACTTTCTGGTGGCTGTTGAAACATTTTTTAAGGGAAAATTAGTGTTGTTCCTATATGAAACTCTTTCCCCCAGGGATATATGGGAGTCCAGGCCCTAGTCTGGAGCAAAATCAAGTTATACTAGTGAACGTGGTGAAGTCACTGCATGTAAACAGGTCAAATGTCCAGACTGGTGAAGAGTATTTTGCTGTGAACTGTGACAGCGCCCTCAACGTGCTCAAGACTACAAGAGAACATGTATCCCTGCACTGTGTTTGATTTGACACATTGAAAATAGATTCTGAAAAGGTTGAAATCCTGGTGAATACTAAGATAAACATTGTCAAAAAGATAATGCAAGCATAGAATCAGACAAAGCTTTGTCATGGTAAAAATGTCTGAACCTCACACACAAGTGTGTATTTCCCGGCAACTGGGGACCCCCTATTGTTCCTCTTTTGTTTGTACTTTAACTTTTTCAGAAGACCACCCATATGTTTTGTACACAGTTGTCAATCGGGCACCCTCTGTCAATCGGGGACGTTACTGTCCTCTATTGTTCAGGGTCCCCAATTGAATGCAGAAACAAACTCACACACACTGCAGATGTTGTGCGCCAAGATGGCTAAACAACAAAAAGAACGGGAACCAGTTTTCAGTCAAATATCACTGCATACCAGTGTATCAGGCTCAACTGTATTGGTCAATCCTGTCCACCCTCAGCCAATCACTTTTTGTCGCTAATTCACGATTATGGCAAAGTGTTCTGAAAAGGGATGTACAACAGTCTTCTCAATCAAATGAGACACCAATACAATGCAGTGATGTGGCGTCGTTGATTAAAACTTGCAGAAAGATACCAAGTTATCCTGAACTATTCCCGGTCATGTATGTGTACATGATACATTCACATTTTCCTTTCAGGTCTGGCTGGCCTAAACAATGGCATATTGGAGGCGGATCTGTGCTCGTCTGTGCATGGCGTTCTCTACCAAAAACTGCCTCAGGGTCTTCATTGTCCTGGTCTTGGTCACTGCAGCCTCAGTCTACTATAACCTCTTCTTCTTCTTCACCACTAACTATCTGGAGAACCGAGATTTTGTAGGCGTGGACAAGTGCCCGGCCTGCTACGGCACCGTCATGTGCCACGAGTTTAGCCATGGTCACCTCAGCCTGTCCTCGTACTCCCGCATGCGCTTTTTGGACATTGTCAATGTCAAAAACGTCTTCTTTGGCTGGCACAACGAGAAGAACGTTGACATCATTTTGAAGCGGCTCGCGCATGACCAGGAGCTCGCCAGCTTTGATGCCAGTGTGTGCAAGAATGCAGGTGCCAGAAGAGACTGCGATGTGGCCAGGAGCATTTCCCAGACCAAATTCTCTCGGGTTTTGGAGACGAGGTCGTTAGAGGTGGCACATGTCGAGGACCTGTCGGATGTCGTCCGCTGCCCCTCACAACGCCTCTTAGAGAGGATTTGGATGATGTATAAAGATCATGTTCCTGGGAACAGTTTATCCAACGACCAGAAGATGATGCTGATGACTATGCTGGCTGTCAACCCAGAACCCATTATCTACATGGTGAGATACTTTTACCTGTTCAGATTGCGTGACTTGATGTTTTTGCCTGGCTTCTCCAAAATCTGTCCCAACGTCTTGAGCCACGTTGTGGGAACATTCCTGAATCTCCAAAGTCAAACTTTGATCTAGGGGCTACATTCTATGCCTTTGACAAATATTGGAGCACCAAACACCATTTAAAGTAATGTTGTAGCTCTTTAAAGCTGTCAAAATAAACTGCATGGTCAGATTTTGAGAGATTACAGAAGGGAGGAACCACAGTTCAACCGTCGTGACTTTCCTCCAAGTTCCCTACATTAACCCTATTCTTCCCAGGTGATACAAAATCAGCCCCTGTAGTTTGGGAAGATTCTGGAGTCAGGCAGGGAAAAAAACATAGCTTGTCACACGCTTAACGAGGCTTGATGCCCTGTGTTAGAGGGTTCAAGTAATGTCACAGCAAGTGCCCTCTGGATTTGTGAAGGGAAGTAGATTTCGGAGGATTCCAAAAGGGACTGCGAAATGCATCAAAACCTCCTGGAGGATTTTGTAGTGCCGTAGAATGTTGGGTCAAGGACGGATGGGCTTGATTGCACGCATGAAAAGGATTACCATTAACATGTATGCACATGTAGTTTGCTGAATAATATATGTCAGAACTCACTTCAAAGCCCATTGAAATAGAAACTGCCTGCGGGCTTGAATGAACTGTTGATCAAGTGATCATTGCTTACTCGTTTAAATATCACTTTCATTTGTCCTTTCGGTATTGTTTTTGTAATGTTGTTTTCATTTCTCTACATATCCTACAGTATGTCCTGTTGATGTAGCACTGTTTTTAGCATTAGTGATAGCCTTTATTACTTTTGGGCAAAAATCTAAAAATAAACAAGGAGGCTTGGACAAGTTGGAGTCATCATGTTTCGATGCCAACCCGTCAGTGTGTTTCTTTGTATTTATTTATTTATTTTTTCCACAGATATTTCCTAAATCAGAGGGCTGGCCATTCCCACAGTACTATGGAGCCTGCGGTCGGCTAATCGTGGAGGAGTATGTCGGAAAGACATTGGGGAGTTATTTTAATGCCGACTGGTCAAAACGCCTGGATCTTGCCTACCAGGTGAGCATAATCAACACCGATTTGCTTCCGTTGGTTGCTTGAGTAAATCAATCCAATTGTGTTATTTATGCTACTCTGCGTTCTGCCAAAAACTTGTCGTGTGAGTCAAGTGACTTTTCTTAAACAGAGTCCCCTACCTTCATGAAGCAGAATTGAATGGCTGTGAACTGTTTTATAATGTTGTGAAATTACATGACATGTATTGGTTATTGACTATTAGTTAATGATTATGGGCAATCTCTAATATTACCTGATTGCGGCGTGCGCTGCGATGGTCAGTGCATTATACAGGCGCGAGCCAGAATCTCATGTAAACAGTGCAAACATGCTTGGTCGCGCTAGCGCCCTCTTGGGGTGGAGCGCATAAAGTTGTTTTCGCCATGCTGTATTTGTTCTTTCTTATGTTTTTCCTTTTAAATGTTATGGTCAAATGTTTTGTTCCTTGTTCTTAGTTAAAACAACCCAACAGGCACAAATAGTCGCTCTGGATTACGGATAGTTTGTTCGTTTTTGTGTTTGGGTTGTAGTTCTGACCTGCTGTCCAGAATAAACCGGTCGCCAATTGTGTAGATCCATGTGATCGTCGTTTTACAATTTGTACCTCCGTCTCCCGACGGATGAACCCACCACAATAACTTGACATTGCTGTACCTTGACTGTTGATGATTGATAAACCAGCTTTGTCTACAAGGTGCCTTCTTTTGTCTGTTGTCTTAATTTGACTGGTCAGAGTACCAGCCAGAAATATGATCCAAGTGCTTGTGACTAGTCAGAGTACCAACCAGAAATATGATCCAAGTGCTGGTGACTAGTCAGAGTACCAACCAGAAATATGATCCAAGTGCTGGTGACTAGTCAGAGTACCAACCAGAAATATGATCCAAGTGCTGGTGACTAGTCAGAGTACCAACCAGAAATATGATCCAAGTGCTGGTGACTAGCCTGTAGTGGGGGAAGTGAATAGAATTTGGGACTGTCTGTGCCTGTTACAATTGGAGGAGGGTCAATATCTGGGTCATTCTAGAAATTTGGGGTCCAATTTTTTTCCTGTCTCTGTTACATCTGGGTTTTTATTTTTTACTAATTTTGTTCGCAGGTGATGAAAATAGCTGAGCAGCTGACGAACAATGAGCTGGAGTACGCCCTGTACTTAACAGACGTGTCCTTTGACAACTTTGCAGTCAACAAGGACGGAAGAGTTCTTATCATTGATGCTGAAAATATTATTGTCGTCGACAAGCGGAAGATAAAGACAGGCACGTTCTTATGTTTGATCCTAACAGTTCCGAATGATCTTCCAAGTTCAGTACAATTTTCCGCTACACCTTCTGGATCAGGGTTCATTTGTTGCTGAGGGGCAACAGTATTTATCTGGGCAGTGATATAAAAGTGGTAAGCTTTTGGGAATCAAACCAGAGGAGGTATTCACTCATTTTAGATCGAGCAACGTTTGGCTAAGTTTGGGTTACTAGTTACCACCAGATCCAACGGTGGCATCGGACATTGGACAATGCTCCCATTGTCGCAACATGGCCAGTTTCTTTGGCTGCCGTCGATTGCCAAAGTGCATCAATGTGCACCAGACCTTTACAGCCGTTGCACTGTGCTGCCTCTAGCAGGGTCTTGGTTTATAAAGAGGAGTCAAGGCAGTTGTGGTCAGATTGATAAATGCTGATTGACGTGACCTTGCTCCTGCAGATGCTAAACCTTCATGGAATGAACGGCACCAGTCTTTCCACGATGAATGCAAGAGCCACCCAGGCTGCCTGTCCTTCTCCTCAGAGCTTCTCTGCAAGCGGCACAGCAGTGACCACAATTACTACGCCATGTGCCATGGGCTGCTTGGTGAGTACAGACATCTCTGTTCGGGGGGGGGGCATCACAGTCACTGATGCCTATTCTCAGGTTGCAAAACATTTCCTGGTGTACAGTTGACGGTGCAGTGATCAATAGATTTGCAGCTCTGGCACGATCTGCACGAGGAGGCCAGACATGGACCACAATTGCCCAGATGAATGTCATGCGATTTTTAATGTTTGAGAAGGGGAGCGTGCGCGGTTGTACGATTGCGCATTACCTGGAACATGGCTGGTGTAAGTAATTATGGATCCTGTCTCTAGAGCTTGGGTCCTACTCTGGAAGTTCCTTTGGGCTGCAGGTTTATTCAGAAACACCTTAAGCTGGCTGACTTAAACTGGTGTATCCAGTACAAGTAGGACCTTCTCTGTAGAAAAGTATCCCCGCCAAATGCAATAAATTTCATATTTGGTTAAGGTTTTGAGAAATGACCTCCCACCCCCCGTTTTATTTGTCCAAGTTGCTTATTTTATGTGAACTTTGCCAACAGATTGGGTTGCCCAGCTCGTCAGGAATTTCCCTTCCGGAATTGATTATGTTTTCATGTGAATGTACACAACCGCACGTGCCTCGATGTCCGTTCTCATGGAAGCACTAGATATTTCCAGATGTTCCCCAGAGGCGAAACGCTTCACCCTTCTGCTCAATTTCAACAAGATCTTACTACAGAACATTCCAAATTATGAGACACTTCCTCGGCACCCTCCCTCCCTTGATATAAATTCAGTGTTCCTCTTGGTGCCATTTATCGTTTCAGCCCAAAATTCCGAGTGGGCAGGCACCAAAGGAGGCCTTCTACACGACCCGCCCGCCAACCTGCCGGAGCGGGAGCGGTTGATTGGGCTGATTGCCGAGTGTGAGAAGCCCAGCCAACGGAACGGCCGCTACGACGCCATGCAGCAACTCTTACAGCTCCTGTCCCACCTGACGGACGGAATGTAGACCGCAGAAATGACCGCGGCGTGATTGTCGTAAGTAGTGATACATCCTACCAAAAGAAGGTGAAAATTGTTTTCTGTGAACCAAATCTGTGTTTTTAACAACCAAAGCCATGTGTGCAGAGTTTTATTCTGAAATTGTGTTGTGTTTTATTGTTTGCCTGATGTGTGGGCATTGTACGTTTTAAGAAAGATAATGTGTTTAGACTCAAATTCTATATCTTGAACGTGGACAAACTCTCCGTTCGTTTTTATGAAAAATGATGAAAAATTCAAGTGCAATCCTGTACACATACTGTATGCTCTGTTAAGGTCAAAAAGGACTCCAGCCCTCCATAGCTTTTTTATTTCTGTGATTATAGCTCTCGTATTCCTCGCTTTCATTTTCAGTATTGGCTGTTTGGTAAACGCTGTTCCAAAGCCCCATGTACTGATGATGTATCACAGTGTTTATCGCAGTGTCTGGTGGGATAAAATGAGGGTCATGGGTGTGGTGCACATGTACGTGGCTATCGTATGCCATGAGTAGGGGCAATTGACGGACGTACAAGCTACATTTGATAACCGTTTGCAGTTGTGGAAGACAGTTCCTCCTGCAGAGTTTAAAAAAAATGTTTACCCCAAAAAACTGACCTTTGGAGACAGAGATAATTGTACTCATATGCCTATGACTGCAGGTTATCAGTACATATGGCTATCCTCCTATTGTTTTGCCTAGCTTGTTGGTATTGTCAATGTCTCTGACCCATTGTCCCAGTCTTTGTCACAGTTGGTCACATTTTTGTCACTGTGATTGTCATGATATGTGTGGTGCAGAGAACCTTAAGGTTGTGCCGAGAACCTTAAGGTGGTGCAGAGAACCTTAACCACTTACTGCCGGGTGGAATTTGAAGTTGCATGACGTAAAACTGGATGATTTTCAAGATTTTCCGTTTTCAAAAGTCTTCAAAAAATCATAGCTTCATTTACTGGACGTTTACACCCACACGAATAACTGTCTGGTGACTACTCTAATCTGACCGACAACATCTATTGATGCCCGAGTATTTCAGCCAGGCCTGCTGCCTTGTAAAAAGAGCCCAGATTGTGCACTGTTATGTAACTTTCTTTTGTTCCCGAAACTGGCATAGTGCGCTGCTGGTGTCTTTTCAATACGGGCCAGATTAGTGTGCAGCGGTATTGTAGTGCTCATCGCAGGAGCGCTTTTGTCCGCAGTGGTAATCCGCTCATGCTGAATGCCACAAACAGTGGTATTATCTCTCAAACTAAGGACAGATTTTCTCCGCTATTGGCAACTGAAAAAAATATTGGCGATTCCTAGCAGCTCAGTCTTTTGTTCTGAGTACGGTCTTTTGTCACAAGGCCTGGCTCTTTTGTGCGGTTTCATGTATAAAGCCCGAAACTGGGCTCCCCGGCAGCATATGGTTAA